ATTTATTGCTCAACGTTTGACTTACATACTGTTTGACTTAATTTCGATACCCTACACTCGGTTGGGTCGATTTTTCTAAGTCAAACGTTGAGCAATAAATTCGATATTATATATTTTGAGAGCAATAAATTAGAGAAACATTTTAAGACCAAAACATTAACAGCAACTAATTGCGTTCATGTACTTTACTCTTGTCGTCAAGCTAGCACCGCCACAAGTTCGGATCGATTTTTTTAGTTAAATTGCGAACAATAAATTTGGAAATGGTTTATTTTGAGATCCTTTAATGCAAGAAACAATTTTATAACAATCTGATATTGTTAGCTACTTATTTTTCATGATTTTACTTTTATGTTCATGATATATCATGTTGGTTTTTTTTTAAATTTAATATTTTGAAAATCTGTTTGCAGTATCTTTGAGCAATTAATTAGCAATAAATTCTGATATATTTGTTTTTTTATTTGCAACTTGCTATAAGTGTTTTTCGGAGATGGGGGTGCCAGCTTAATGGCAAGTCAGCACCCCCATCTTTAATATTATTTTCCTGCTAATGGGTAAAAGCAATAAATTCGCGCTTAAAGCAATAAATTAGCAACAAATTAGCACTTAATTTTGCACTAAATCCGAACCCGATTTTTCATGGTGGGGATGCCAGCTTAATAGGGGTGCTATTTAGGACACATCCCAGTAAATGAGAAAGTATTGAAAGTTCAGAAATGGGATTGAAAATTACTGAGAAGAATTAAATAGAATTCAGCATCATCGTAAATGATTTCTTCTCAGTAATTTTCAATCCCATTTCTGAACTTTTAATACTTTCTCGTTTACTGGGATGTTTATATGAATCTTTTCACTTGAAATAAACCAAAGAATCGCTTCTTTGAGTATGGCAACGTACTTAAGGAACATCCTGTATATAAAACAAAGATTTCTGTAATTTATACATATGTTTAATTTAAGATATTTATCAAAAATTCTTATTTAAGAATGCATATGTAAAGTAAAATCTTAACTGAAATATAAAGAATTTCTAACAATAATTTTTAATAATAAGTGTCCTTTGTATCAAACTGCTAAAATTCAAAATTTTACACTTTTGTAATAAGATGTTTAAATAACAAATTTTAATAGAATTAATGTTTTTTGGATTTATTTAAAAAAATTTCTGTAATACGGATTTGGCTATTATAATAGAACTTTCTTCTGAATGTGTCAAAATGTCACGTGTGTTGTTATATGTGCCGGTTATTGTGAAAGTGGCCTAAGTTATATATTTCTCGTTTCGAGATATTCAAACTTTTGCGTTTGACCATATTAAAAATATTTTTCCATCATGGCGCAAAATTTATTAAAAATTATAATGTTCTCCTGATGTTAAATTTATGTAAGATCATTAAATTTTATGAATAACTTGCACGAAACTGTGTGTTTTTAACCGTTGAATGACTTATGCTACTTTCAAAATTAATAGTAGTTCTAATTGATGATTTACGATAACAAAAAATTAATAAATTTAATTGAAAAAATAACTTAAAAAGAAACAAATTTATTTACTTTTAGAATTGTATTAACTATTTTAATTGTATTAATTATTTTTTTAAATTATTATTTTATCCGTTTCCATTTCTTGCAAACATTATTTCGTGGTACTAAGTCTATGAAACACAACGATCAAAATAATCTCAATTAGTAATTTAATGTTTCGCAAAATTATTACGGCAATTTAATTATATTAAGCATTATTTACATTATTGATATTACATTTATAAATAAATATGAAATATTTTTGTAAAGTTAAATTTACCTGAACCGCTGTCTGACGACATAATAGAAAAATATGTTGAAAATTATGATAATGTTACTTTTTCTATTGCAATGTAGAAAAAAAATGACTTATGCCACTATCAAAATAAGCATGCAATTACACCTGATAATAATAAAAATGACAACTTTATTTTATTGCTTATTTTATGGTAACTTTGCAAAAATTCTTCCATAATAATGAAATATAGTTGATATAATATAATACTAAATAAAATTCTCATTTTTTTTGGTTTTGTGACTTAGGCCATTTTCATAATAATCGGCACATATTTACAATAATACTGAATTGGTCGAATATCTGTAGACTTTTTAATTTGCTTCTCCCGTAACTAAAATAATTTCTTATCAATATTAACAACTAATTCTCTTCAACGCAAATAATTAACATTTTCTTGTCGTACAAAGAACTCATTCTCGAATCGAATCGGTACACAAAAAGAAATCTCTCTAGATATTAAAAAAAATCTTATTCATTGTCGTATATAGATGTTTATGCATCATGCAATTCTAATTTTATAATTATGTGAATGTAATTGTAATTGATCCTATTTTAGTTTGCTGTTGAAAGTATCTTGAAAAAGTTTAACTTTATTAAAAATAAAGGTGTTGGCTCTAAATCCTCTTTATTATATTTGTAATTATTTTATCAATAAAAAGTTTATATATATTTATGTTAAAAATTAAAATGTTTTGAGAATTTAGTGTTTTTTATGTGTTACAGAACGAAATTTATTAGTTGTCATATAAGTTTAAAAATAATGAAATAGCTATACGCAAAATGTATTTAAGACAGTTTTATACTTACATAGTATTTTTAAGCTGTATTTTTTAACTTGAACATTGAGCAATAAATTTGGGATTTGGATATTTTGAGAGCTATAAATATAAAAAAATATTTTAACACTAAATCGAAGCTAAATTAATTAATTTAATACAGTTTATTCTTAAACGAAATCGCCATACCTATGACTTGTATTTGTCATCTTAAGCATTGAGCAATAAATTTATTTTTGTTAACTTGACAAAAATTAAAAATTGAATTTGGATATATAGCAAAATTAATCTGGAAGTTTGTGTTCCAACTCATTTGTAGAAAATTAATATTAAAAATGAGAGTGTTGATTTGACGTTAAGCTACACTTATACCTCCGAAAACTATGTTTAAAAAAAGCAAATAGTAAAATATATGTATCAAAATTTTGTGTTATTTTTGTGCTATTTTTGTGCTTTAAACATTGTGTAAAAAAATTGAGAACATTGTGTACAGAAAATTAAATTTAAGTTAAAAAATACAAATACAGATAATAGACGTGCCGCTACCAGCCAGCTTCCAAGAGTAAAGTATGTTAAATTAATTAATTGCTCCAAAGTTTTCTACTTTAAAATGCTTTTTATATTTATTGCTCTCAAGATATCCTAGTTTCAAATATAGTGCTTAACGTTTAACTTAAAAAATACAGGTGACAGAAGTGTAGCGGTACCAGTTAATTATCTGTATTTTTTAACTTAAATTTATTTTCTGTCAATTTCTTTACGTAATATTAAAGCACAAAAATAGCACAAACTTTTGGTGTATTTATTTTTTGTTTGATTTTTTCCTAAACATGTTTCTCGGAGGTGTATATTAATGTCCTGTGAATGGGTTGAAGCACAAAATTCTGGATTAGGACAATAAATTAGCACAAAATTAGAACTTAATTTTGTCATATATCTGAATTCAATTTTTAATGGTGGGGGTGCTTAATTGCGTCAGATTTTCGCAAATTTATTGTAATAAAGCTGTTTACTTTTTTGGTGACATTATACATTAAAATTTCCCATATAACGTCTTTTTACAATATTTTTACAATATTTGTCATTTTTAATTTTTTTAATAATTATACTGAATAAGAAATGGCGTACTGCTGCAAAACCAGCAGTCCTGTCCAGCAGATGATTTGCAACTGCTATGCAGCGCTTACTTCTGTTGAATGTGACTAAGATTTAAGCATGAATAACTGGCAATGGCTCCCTTTATTCTTTTTCTTTATTTTAATTTTTAAAGATTTATATTATGCGTAACTGATGCAAAAATAAGTATATAATGTGATATAACTTTCTTATATACAATAATCTTAATTTTTCTTTTTATAATAGCTTGATATGCTTTCTTTCTGATTATAGAGGAAACTCTGGCCCACAAAGTTTGCCTATTACTGATCGAGTTATATATAGTAACGGAACAACCAGATGCAGCTCTAACTGTATTAAATTATGTAGAAAGTCAATTAGTATCTGTTGATAATTCTAAAATATCATCCGTTGACAAGGATGGAGTAATAAAATCTATTAAGGAACAAAAAGAACAGAAGAAAAATGTTAGTGATACGCATATAATAGACGCATTTAAAATTAAACTCTTAAAATGTAAAGCAAGAATATATCTTCTGACTCATCAACTGAAACTCTGCAAAAAAGAATGGAAAGCATTAGTTTCATTGGGCACACCAGCGGTAATATAATTATTTATTATAGTAATATGCAAAAAATACTTTTTTTAATAATTATTATTAACGGATTTATTATTATATGTAGACAGATTTTTATTTAGAAAGTTTATATTGTGCGTGCGCGCGTGCGTGCGTGCAGCCTTTTTAAAACTTAAAATTTTACAATGATATTGCAATAGTTATTGCATTATTACAGTAGTAGAATAAAACTACAAATTAAATTTTTATTAGTACAAACATTAGTTTCTGACAACTGTTATTATAGTAAATGGGAAAAGTATTTGCATACTTGCGATTCTGTAATAATAAATTTACACGTATTAAAAAAATTACAAATATGTACAATTGGTACATTTTTGCTAAAGAAAAATTAATTTATTGATTGTTTTAACTAACTATTTCCTAAATTTACTTGCATATTTCATATTTTTATCTTCACGATTTCAGTGGACTAATATTTTTCAATAAACTTTGTCTTAATGCGATTATGCATTTAATTGCTTTATTATTTTCAGAATACATCAACAATTTTTTTAAAGGCTAATTTGGAATATTTACGAGGAAATTATAAGAAAGCAATAAAGTTACTGAATTCTGCAGCGACAGAAAATTTAGATTTCAAGTACGTTACATATATTAATTAAAGAGTAGGTACAGAATGAAGCACTAATATTGTTCACTTTTTCTAACAATTCTTTTTTAACATGTTAACATGTACAACATGTTATATGTACAACTTATTAAGTTATTTTTTATATAGATTTATTTAAAAAATTTAAAATTAAAAAACTTATACAAACAAAAATGTGAACGCAAAAATTTTGGTTTAAATATAAATTTTCAGAAAGAATATTTTTACGCATAAATTCAATACGAAAAATATACAATACAATCTAATTTAGTCTAATTTAATCTTATAAGTATTAGAAATTATTTTTGTATTTTATGCTTATACATATGTAATATGATAATAAATAGCAAATATAATATAGTAAAGTATAATAGTAAAGTATAATATAGTAAAGTACGATAAATTTTCAGAAAGAATATTTTTTACGCATAAATTCAATACGAAAAATATACAATACAATCTAATTTAGTCTAATGAGTTGAACGTTTGAATATTGATATAAAATATTAAATATTTTATAAAATATTCACATTTTATAAAATATTTACAGTTTTTGATAACCATTTCTTCATATTTTTATAAGTAAAATGGTGAAATAATTCGATTTATGTAAATTAAAACAAAATGCAATTGCATTCTTCAAGTGTTTGATCTTATACTTGTGAAAAAATTAAAATATAAAAAGTAAAATCATTTATTAAATCAAAACATTCCGCTATAACCATTTCTTCATATTTTTATAAGTAAAATGGTGAAATAATTCGATTTATGTAAATTAAAACAAAATGCAATTGCATTCTTCAAGTGTTTGATCTTATACTTGTGAAAAAATTAAAATATAAAAAGTAAAATCATTTATTAAATCAAAACATTCCGCTATCATTCTTTGTATCTTCATTTAAAAGAAAGTTACATTCTAGATCTTATATAATCACTCTGTACAATATCTCTCGCATTATACTGTGAATCTGCCATAAATATTAAACAATATTTTAATAGCGTGTTCCGAACTTTAATTAAAATTGAAAGTCATAATACAAAAATATAATTTTATAATTATGTTATTATATAACATATATATAATATTAAATTTTATTACATTATTTTTATAAAAACTATTTTATAAATTATTTAAAATAACGGAAATGTTTCACGTAAAAATTATTGCCTATTTTTTTCCAAAATATATTGCATCTATATATAATTTACAGATTATGTGGCGAATCCTCGGCTGTCTTATATTATAACAATATAGCATGTCTGCATCTTGCAATGGGCAAGCCAAACTTGGCAGCTTTTTATCTTCAGAAAGCTTTGTATGAAAACAAATCTGCAATGGAAAATATACAAGTCAAAGACATCGGTAATTTTTACAATTGTTTTTAGATATACATAAGTCGTATCAATCTGTTTGAATCGATTGACCTATTTTTATTTTTCAAATGCAAGTATTCTACAAGTCATTGTTTCTAATACATATTTTTAACACATTCACGCAGACTAAATCTACCAACCGGTGGATCATGATATATGTTAAGTATTTGCTCGTTTGTGATGATCGAATCATTATTATTATTAATTACGACTGCATTGAATAAAATATGTATAATTTTATATGTAGATGTTAAAAAATAAATTCATGTAATTTTATAATTGAAATAACAAAGATAATATATAAATAAGGAAAAATATCTAATAATGCGCTGAGTGAATGTGTTTTAAGTATCATAATGTTCTACAATCTTGTATTTTGAAACATGTATTTGCCTCTTTTTTGCATTTCGATAAGCACAAAAAGAGGCAAATATATATCTGACTAAAATACCTTGAATCACCTTGAATAACTTATAAACTATGCGTTGTATAAAAAATTGTTGCATGAAAGAGATTATTACATAGTATATATATATATATTTTTTATAAATGGAGATTTATTTTTATTATTTCGGAGATTTGAAGGTCATCTTCATTTTTTTAAATGGAACTTTTAAATGGAACCCTGATTTTTTTATATAAATCGATTCCTTGCAATATTCGGCGTAAAAAGTTATAAGGGTAGGATGGTCAAAAATTGAATAATTTACGAGATATTTTATACTTTAATTTGACATAATTTTACATAAACTATGAAATATCTCGTTAAATATTCATTTTTCAATTATCTTACCTCAACACTTATGCACAAAATAGAGGAGGAATCAATTGAGAGGAATCAATTGGTGTAAAAAAGACATATAGTTGTCTTGAAGAAAAATATGTAGCTGAAATGATATCATATCATATTTTTTCTATTTAGCTTATCTAGACCCTTATAATCTAGTAGTGTCAAAATATTCTGTCTTTTGAGTCTCTTGAATTCGATATTGTTGTTGGTTAATAAGTTTAGACACAAGTTTGTTTGGATGATGGTGTGGCCTTTTTTGGTATCTTTCACTATACTTATTGACCTCTTTTAACTGTATTAATTTTTCGATTGTTGAGGATATATTTGTTACTTATATAATATGGTATGTCTATATAGCATGGTTTTAATAGTTTTTGTTTGGAATCGTTCTAAGATTTCGATATTACTGGCTGTACCCCATAACTGAATACCGTAGGTCCATATTGGTTTCAGGATTGTTTTATAAATTGCTATTTTGCTATTTGACAGCTTGGATTTCCTTCCTGTTAACCAATACCACCATATTTCTTGGGTTCCCATATATTTAGCATCATTGGTCTGAGATATTATTTGGCTATTTATTAGTTTGGTGAAAGTCTTTTTGTTTTCTAGCGCTACGAATAAAACAACAATTTCTCAATGGTAAGTCAATGGTAAAGAATTTATTAATCGATAATATAATTTCCGTCATTTCTTATAACATTTTTACTGTAAGTGAAACGACCGGCACTGGTAAATCAGATAGGAAATGGGTGTCCCCATGTTGCAATGCAAATCATCCAGAAATTAAATGAATTTGGCTGGGAAATCCTTACTCATCCCCCATACTTTCCCGATATTGTCCCATCAGTCTACCATTTATTGCGATTTATTCTTTGCAAAATTATTTAGATGGAAAAAATTTGAATAATTTCGAAGATCTCAAAATGTGTCTCAATGGATTTTTTTGAAGGTAAACCAACAGAATTTTATAAAAATGCAACAGAATTTTATAAAAAAATTGTTTGATAAAGGGAAAAATATTATAAAAAATGACGGAAATTATTGATTAATAAATTCGTTACCATTGAAAAATTGTTATACTCATAGCATTACGCATAGCACTAGAAAACGAAAAGACTTTTTCACCAACTTAATAATTGAATTGACGGACAATTCTCTTTCCGTAATATGAAAGTGATCTGGACCGATTTGATTTCATTGGCTTTTATTTGCCATTTTGGTACCATTTTTCCATTATATTTAAGTTTAATTGTAGGGTTCTTGAGGCTGAGACAGGATTCTCGTGAGCAGAGAGAATGACTGTGTCGTCTGCAAATGTAGCAGTTGTAGATTTACCTTAGTGGGAATGTCGGCTGTATAGAATATATAAAGTATTGATCCAAGTATACTTTCTTATAGGACTCCTGATTTGATGGGGTACAATTTGGAAATATTTTAATTGAATTTTACTTTAAAGCACCTGTTTTGAAGATGTGATTTTAGGATTAAATAAAGACTGGTTGTGGAAAGATGTTCTTAATTTTGTACAGCAAAACTTCATGCTTATACTTTATCGAATGCTTGATTAATGTCTAAGAAAGCTGCAGTACAGTATTTTTTGTTTTCTAGCGCTTTGCTGACAACGCGGTATATTTGTACTATGTCTTTCTCTGAATCCAAATTGATGATTAGGAATTATATGCATTAGATATGGTTTCATTCGAATCAATAAAAGCTTCTCAAACATTTTAGAAACTGGGAGGAAACTTATAGACCTATAAGACTTGTGATCATTTGGGTTTTTGCCCGGTTTAGGAATTAGTATAATCTGCGCAATCTTCCATTGATCAGAGTAGCGACCTGTTCTTAATATTGCGTTAAAAATTGTGATGATTTACATTATTGTTTTGTTTGGTAATCTTTTCAGGATTGATGCAGTAATAAAATCATATTCTGATTCTTTTTTGGAATCAAGGGCTGTGATAACGCGCTAGATTTTTTAAAGACTTATCGGTTTTATAGGCAGGTCCAGATAGAGGTGCGTCTAGGAAATTTAAGATTTTATTTTTTTTTACTTTGTCTGTTGGATAGGGTTGAAATACTTGTTGGAGGTGTTTGACAAATAAGTTAGCTTTTTCTTGATCGCTCCTCACCTATCTACCGGCATCTGCACGTAGAGGCGGAACATGATTTGTTAGACGTTGAAACTTTTTGGTGTATAGTATTGTATAGTGTATAGTAAATCATTAGTAGCCGCAGTATGAGATAGATTTATTAGATAGATCGGCGCAAAGTTTCTTCTTTATAGTTCCTTATTATAAGTTTATGTTCTTATGAGCAAATTGAATTCTTGTTTAACTAATGAAAATTTAGATTGTTGCCATATTCGCCTGAGTTTACGTCTTTTCTCTATTTTTTTCCTAATAATCATGGGATATGTATTTAGCAGCTTAATTTGTTTCGTTGTTGAAGGAATAGCTTTTTAGGCAGCTGAGTGGATAATACTGTTGAGAAGTTCAACTCCTTCTTCAATATTCTTTTCAATTTTGAATGGTATTTTGAGATTGATGTTATTATTTACACCTTGTTGAAAAATGATCAGAGGACAAATTCAAGCATGATTCAATTTTGTTATAATTATCCGGGATGCCTTTAGTTATGGAGAAATTCAACAGATCTGACGTTTTGTTTCTATCAGTGGGCCAGTAGTTTGCCAGTGGAATGGCATTGGAGACTATTATTCTGTATTGAGTTTATTGTTTGCCTCTTGGTAACAAGCCTAGATCTCTAATATTGATGTTTAGCATTTCAGTCTCTTCTGGAAACAAATTTAGGTCCTAAACTTAAGAAATATTCATTAAACTGCCTAGTACTGATTGTGTGCCTTGGTGGATAGTAAGTGGCTAAGATTGCAATAGAGCCATTAGTTCTCTCTGCTACTATTGTAGTTGCCTGTAAATATTTTTTATCAAAGTTTTTGTATGAATAATGTTTAATTATATTTTTAATTAGCTATCCCACCACACATGAGTGTTTCCTGAAGGATGATTAGTAAAATAACATGCATAGCTTTTTAATTTAAAATAATTTTTGTTAGTGAATCTGATTTCAGATATTAGCATATCTATTTTATTAGATTTGATGAAAAATTCTAAGTCTTGTCTTTTATCTAACAAGCCGTTGGTGTTCTATTGGGAAATTTGACTGAATTTATTTTTGATGTTGTAAGATATTGCTGATTAGTTGAATCATTCGATCAATTATTTTATTCATGAACTTTTCCATTAATGTTTTGAATTTGTTGAAAGTTTTTTCTAATACTTGCGTTATATCTGTGATTTTATGTGTTGGTTACTTATACATATATATAATAATGTTGTATTTTATCTTTTTTTTTAATTTTTCCAACTCTTCTAATTTTTTGATTTTTTTTTCAAATTTTTTGCTTCCGCTGCATCTGTTAAATCATCCATGTCAACATCTTGTAGAAGTTCATCTTCTAATAGTTCTTTGTCAGAATTTTTATTGAGACCGAGCTTTGCCATTCTAAAAAATATTTAAAAAATATTAAAAGAATTTAAAGACGAGGATTAAGAGCCAAAACAGGATGACAGTAGTTTATTGTAATATTTACTTACTTTTTTTGAATTTCTCTGTTTTCTTTTATTAGTCCTCCTTTGGGTTTTAAGTTTGTGCCTTGAGTTTCCATATTGATATAAACAATGATGCAATATTATATTTTTCTATGACAACCGATCGATATAAACAAAATCGTTTACGCGAATTTGACGATAAACAAACCGATCGATAACCATCACGATGACAACGAAAAGAGGCTTCAAAGCTAAATAACATGCCTCTTTTATGGTAGGATTGAGATATTAATTAAAAAGGATTGACGAATAATCGCGTTGCGCGTGGCTAGACTATTGTGTATTACTCCTGCTCTCGCCATGTATTGTTATTTTTCGTTGCCGTGCGATCCTCATCGCTGTCACATCTACAGCCCATGATCTAGCGCGACGCGCGATTATTCAATATTTTTAAATTAATATCTTAATTATTATTGCGAAAATTGCAAAACAGTAAAAGACTTTTTATTCAGTTTACCGCACTCTACGCGCACATGAGCGTTGGCATGAACATTATGAAACACCCTGCATATACTGCTTTTAGTACGATGATATCAGCGTTTTGTTTCACTGCTTGTCTGTTTT